GCAGCCGCATGCATCATGGACGTACGGGCGACGTCCATGACCATGCCAATGCGGCGCTCAGCAATCCCATTTTGCTGTGGAGAGTCCGGAAGCGTGAAGGTCTGGCGGATGCCTCGTGCACGACAGTAGGCTCGCAGAAGGCCAGAGGAGAACTCTCCACCTCTGTCAGAGTGCAGACGCAGAACAGGAAAGTCCGAGCCGAAGCTCTGCCTGAGCTGGAGACGAGCTGCGCGGATCCAGTCGATCAACACCTCAGTGACATCACCCTTGCTGCGCAAGGGGAAGACTGTGGTGTAACGCGAGTAGTCGTCAACCACCAGCAGGAAGTAGCGCTCGTGACCCTGTCCACGGACGCGGGCCGGGCCCCACACGTCCATGTGAAGCGTCTGCAGCGGGGCCTCTGTCGGAGGAAACTGGGAGGAGTGAGGGGCAGCACGCTGCCGCCCCTCGACACAGGGGACGCAGGTAGGGCCAGGCCCCGGAGGAAGGGGAGGGAGGGACCGGGGAAGACCAGAGACAAGGACACGGGAGGCCATGCCTCGGAGACGAAGCAGGGAGGGGTGACCAAGGCGGTGGTGCCAGAGGAGAGTCTCGTGAGACAGGAGGCGACACGAACAGGGGGCAGACTCATGACCAGACCTGGACGCTGCAGCAAACACCTGACCCGACGCAGCTACCTGACCAGACGCAGTGACTGGAGGAGACGCAGTGGTCAGTGTGTACAGGCTCGACCCCAGCCGACGTGTAAACGTGGCCAGGTGTCGGCCTGTCCGAGCGTCCGTGCAGTGGGTCACCCGCTGACTCGCAGGAGTGAACTGGTGAACCCCCGCATCCTGTAGGTCAGCACCACTCACCAAGTTTGTAGAGAACGAGGGGAGGTAAAGACCAGACAGGGTGCCAGAGGGGGCCGCCGGACACGGGAGGACAGTGGAGAAGTGAGCAAGGACAGGACCCCCAAAGGGGTCTGCCAGAGAGACTGCAACTGGCCGGCCAAGCGGCGTGAGTGTGGTGCGGTCTCGAAAGAAGGAGCGAGAAGCCCCCGAGTCGAGGGTGAAGGTGTGGGAGGCCGAAGCCGACGCAGTACCTGAGAGAGCAGACTCACCAGCACCTGAGGGAGCAGACGCACGAGCACCTAGAGCAGCAGCCTCGCTAGCACCTAGAGCAGCAGCCTCACCAGTGCCTAGAGCAGCAGTCTCAATGCCCGGGTCGGGCGAAAAACACCGGTAACAGTCACCCTCATCACTAATAGTCACAGCATACATGGCAGCAAGAATAGCATCAAAGTCAAGGTCAAAGACAGCTACACCCGCCCTAGACAGCTCGCCCCAGCGGGGGATCTCAGTGGCCTCAGGGAACTGGTGACACCAAGCGTCCGTCAGGCGGCCAAAGCAGCGCTGGGTGGAGTGCGCACCCCCGCACTGCTCACCCGCGCGGTCGCCGGTGCGTAGGACGTAGGTGCACGGACCAGTACCCCCACCCCGCTGGCGTGCAGCGTACCACTCACGGAGCTGCTGAGGGGGGGGGATGTCACGAGTGCGCTGCTGCCGCTGCTGCTGCTGCTGCTGCTGGCGCTGACCACCACCGGAGCCGACCCTCTGCGCAGCGCCACCCCGACCAGCTCCACCTCCTCCGCCGCCGCCTCCTCCACCGCCGCCACCTCCGCCACCTCCGCTCCCACCGCCACCGCCGCCGCCGCCTCCGCCTCCACTGCCGCCACCGACACCTCCACCCCCGCCACCACTCCCACCACCACCCCCACCCCCTCCACTGCCTCCACCGCCACCTCCGCCACCCCCGCCAGCCCCTCCAGCACCCTTGCCCCCCTTGCCCTTGCCGGTGCGGCGTCTCCCGCTCGGGGCAGACGCAGCGCCGACCGACTCGAAACCAACGAGGTCGGCCGCAGCAGCAGAGGCAACAGAGGGCAAAAGGGGGGAGGGGGAACACCCCTCAAAGACGGGGGTGCGAGGGTCACCACGAGAGGCTCCTACAGCGACTATGCTCTTCTCTGCTGCTAGGAGGGCCTTCTCGAGGAGGTCAACGGTGAGAGTGGTGGGGCAAACTGAGAGGAAGTGGTCCCTGACTACGCGAAGGGAGTCAGGGAGCCGGGTGACAATGTAGTAGAGGGTGATGTACATGGGGAGGGGGGTTCTTGGCGCAGAATTCAGCAGGAAGCGCAGCGCGGTAGCGAGTGTCACTAGTGCGGAGGTGCGTAATGAGGTCAGCGACTGTGGGAAAGGCAGCAAGGTCAGGGAAGAGGTACGGTAGCATGAGGCGGCTCAGTGCAGCAGTGGCAGGGGAGGAGTAGCGCGCAACTACAGCGTCGTACAAGGTCTGAGCACTCTTGTACTGGCTAAAGTGCGCACGCTCAGAGGTAGGCAGGTGGCGACGCACAGCAAGACGTGCAGCAGCATCGCGTGTGGCCCAATGTGAGCGAACAGTGGCGTCGGCATCAGCAGCAGGGGCAGGAGAGGCACCAGAGGTGAGGTCAAAGAGGGAGAGACCGTCTGCCCTATCGCACTGTAGGAAAAGCTGCAGGTCATCTACCCAGACGTCAAAGTCAATGGCCCGACCCTCAGCGTCAAAAGCGAGGACACTAGGGGTAGCCATGACAGCAGTAGACTAGCAGCGCGAACAGTAGGGTAAGGGCAGTGCAGTGACAGAGGCGCTGCTCTTACCGGACAGGGCGGCTCGGGCGGCACGGCAACTCGGCGGCTCGGGCGGCTCGGGCGGCTCGGCGGTACGGCGGCTCGGCAGCAACTGCGGCTCGGCGACTCAGCGGCTCGGGCGGCTCGGGCGGCTCGGCAACAACTGCAGCTCGGCGGCTCGGCGACCCGGCGGCTCGGGCGGCTCAGGTGGCGCGGCGGCTCGGGCGGCTCGGGTGGATCGGGCGGCTCGGCAGTAGCTCGGCGGCGCCGGCGGCTCGGTGGTGACGGCGGGGCCGCGTGGGGACGGCGGCGGGGCCGGGTGGAGCGGCGGCGGGGCCGGGTGGAGCGGCGTCGGGGCCGGGTGGAGCGGCGTCGGGGCCAGTAGAGGCGGCGCCGGGGCCGGGAAGGGCAGCTCCGGGGCCGCAGGGGTAGGCGACGGGGCCAGCAGAGGCGGCGCCGAGGCAGGGAAGGGCGGCGCCGGGGCCGCTAGGGCGGCTAGGAGGGGGGGGTCGCGAGGGCGGCTTGAAGAGGCCGCGAGGGCGGCTAGAAAGGGCCGCGAGGGCGGCGTGAAAGGGCCGCGAGGGCGGCGCGACGCGAAGGAGCCGCGAGGGCGGCGGATCGGGGCCGCAAGGGCGGCGCGACGCGGCCGCTAGGGCGGCGCGACGTGAAGGGGCCGCGAGGGCGACGCGACGGGGCCGCAAGCGCGACGCGACGGGGCCGCTAAGGCGGCGCGACAGGGTCGAGAGAGGGGAGCGCGACTCGGGCAGTGTAGAGCGCGCTCCGGGTAGGAAAAAAAGGTGGTGGGCCCTAGGAACAGTTCCCACAGGGGAACCTGCTCGATACCATGTCAGAATCCCAACCACTAGACCATTGGGATAAAAGGGCTTGTTTCAGTAGCGGGTCAGTGCGCCCATAACCCCCCAGGCAAACGCGCCTGTAACCCCCCCTAGGATCGATCGGGGATCTCACAGTGTAGCTCTACTGACACCCCCCCACACTGGGAGGCCCAGGACTGAGCACAGTGGCAACGGCCTACATGTGCATACACCGGGATTCGAACCCGAGACCGCTCTGATACCATGAGAAACTGAACGAGGATGAATTGACTAAGGGAAAGTTGGGTACAAATGCAAACCCTAGAAAACTGTACCCCATATGTGCTACCCCACTATAGCCTACAGTATACCCCACTATACCCCACCATAGAAAACTATACCCCAATTAAAACAGGCATCGGCCACGATTTGAGCTAAGTGCGGGCGCTTGAGAAGGAGATGAGGAAGACGCCATGGACGCGGTGCCATATTGTGACTTTCACAATGCAGCACACAGTATGGGGCGAGCTCGTGATCTGTGAGGGCACGGGACGCCGAGAGATATTTAGCGTCAAGAATACGTGAGCGGAGGGACGAAGAAACGTAGATTCGGTCAAGGCGGGACGCCGTGGGCGCCGCATTTCCTTGTGAGAGTCTGGGGTAAGCGAAAAAAGAAAACATGGGAGTGGAAGGGAAAAGTGCACGAAAAGTGTCCAGGAGGGAGTGTTGTTGGAGAATGCCTTCTAGGATCAACCCTTCAGAAGTTTCGTGGCTGAGCGGGGGCCTATTTCGGTCCTCTGGAGCACAAACCGCATTAAAATCGCCGGCCAGTATGGTTCCTGCGGAGGAAGTGGGTGCATCGAGCGCGGGGAGGAGAATAGATCGCCACCACGGACGTCTTACAGCGGGGGTGGAGGGGGCGTAAACTGCTATGATTCGGAATTGTTCGCCAAGGAAATTAACATGAATCGAGAGAAGACGGCCATCTGGCGATGGTACAGCGGAAGAAATGGAAATTTTCTTGTTAAAAACAAGTATTGCGATTCCCCCTGGTTTGGCTTTGTTGAGGAAAGGGGAGGGACACTGGGCAAAGGAAGCCGGTTTAAGAGTAAGAGTGAGTGTTGGGAAATTTAAAGTTAGCCTGGTATCGACGAGAATCAGGATATCAGCCTTAGGTTCTTTTTTACTGAGCCATCCACGGAGCTCATTAATTTTGGAGTTTTTGTTAATGCCATTGACGTTAATGCAGCGTACCGCTAGGGGGACTAACATTGGGAAATATCGTGAGCCCCCACACGCAGGAGCGTGTGCATCCACGGGGCAATAGCGTGGCAGCCAGGGCAAATTTGTGGGGGGAAAGGATAGAAAGACGAGGTAGAATTTCTTGGAGATGCATACAGCACAGTAGCTTGGCAGTACAGTACAAGCCTAAGCTCTATCGCACCCGAGGAAAGATACAGGGTATCCAGTGAGAACAGGTACAAGGTACCCAAGGAGAATAGGATTGAGGTATCCGAGAGCCAGTCAGCACCAAGCCGTGCTACTGCAGGAAGGCCAGGATACGGGGGTGCTGCACCAGCGTATCTGCCTTCCAGGCCCCATACTTGTCCTTGACCGCAGCCAGGTGGGCAGATTCCTGCAGGCGGGCCCGATGCTGATCGGAGCCCATGTGAAACAGGGCGCTGTCCAAAGCCAGCCCACATTCGAACTCGCACATAGAGCAAGTCCAGATCTCGACGTCGAGGTCCAGGCCGATGAGCAAAAGACCCGGGTCCTTCTTGAAGGCTGTGGCCGCAGCCTGATGACCGAGGAGCTTTCCTGAAAGACACGGAGGAGGAAGGAGAAGTGCACAGTCGCATAGAGAGAGCCAGGGGGATCGTCCCGAGTAGAGACAGGCCAACAGAAAGGGTTGCTACGGACATAAGAGCAACAGTCAAGGATACGAAGGGGAAGGTAAGGCTAGAGTGGAAAGGCCGAAGCACTCGTAAGGAAGAAACAGGTGAGTTGAGCAGTGCGGAGAGAACGAATCTCCAGATCCAAAGCAGAAAGGAAAGACCCAAAGCGACAGATGGGGGCATACCGTTGACCGCTTGCAGGTTTGACACCGAAATGGTGAACTTGTTGGGGACCCGGTTCCGGCGGGTGAGCGCGAAGACAGCGTGGTCCGCGACACGTTGGTTACTGGAACACACCGAGCACGAGTGACAGGAAATGTTCAGCAGGCCCGGGTCCACCTGGTTCGGAAACCACAGCACCGCGGAGATGCGATCGAAACTCGGGTCGCCTTCAGCAGCAACAGGAAGGCCGAGCACTTGAGAGTAGGCCGAGCCATCATAGGGATCCTTGAGCCTGTGGATGTGAAGAATGTCCGCAAGCCACGGTAGTTCCGCTTCGGAACGAGCGGTGATCAGGGTTTCGCGCAGGCGTTCCGGAGATACGCCAAGCGGCACGTTCCGCACCACCAAGTGCGTGTCACCTCGTGCTTTTGCGGCAGTGAAGTCCGGGAAGGGGTCAGTGTAGGTCTTGACCTCGATCGGGCGGCTGTTGGCCAAACGCACCGTCTGCGAGAAGAGACCGCGGAAGATGCGAGCATCATTCGCGGAGGGCCACGAGTAGATGTGCCTGAAGTAGGTTTTGCGTGGCAGGCGCAGCGGATCGCCAGCGGCCGCATCGAATTGCGGAACGACACCATTGAAAGCTGCCGGCCCTGTGAGGAGCGCAGCGATGCGGGCGAGGATGCTCTCGCGGATTTCTTCCGAGCACTCCGGGAACATGATGGTGACCAGCGACTGGGTGTCACATGTCAGGGACCGGAGTTCTGCCCCGACTGAAGGGCGGTGGAGGCGCAGGTTGCGGTAACGCGCCGTAGCGGACAGGCTAGAGGAGCCGGAAGGAGCCGGATCAGCCACCGCCTCCTGGGCCGGAGGCTGAGGTTGGGAGGCCGGAGCAGACCGCGGCCTCGGGGGAGGCTTCGGACGGGACGACGAGGGGGCCGTAGCGGCTGAACTCCCAGAAGAGCTCGTACGCGCCATAGGCGGGGGCGCGGACGGGGGAACGGAAGGGAAGGAGGTCGAAGGTTTGTCCGAGGACATCCCTTCACCACATAGCTTCTTGGCAGCGGGCTCAGCAGGAAGCTCCGGCAGAGCTCCGTCAGGGAGGTCGTCGACGATGTAATCGTCGAGTTCAGTCGTGTCGATCTCTCCTGAGGGAAGCTGCTCTTCGGTCATATCCATGTCAGGGTTATGAGCGGAGGCCATGGTGGCGAAGGGCGAGGAAACCGAAAGGGTTCGGCGGCGTTTATACCAGGTCCAACAGCGCTGGGAGGCTCGATAGAGGAGCGGAGCTAAGTTCACTGAAGGATGAGAGTACTCGCGGCTCGGCAGAATGACCGGGCGCGAGGAGGGAGAGGAATAGCCAGTGGGCCAATGGGAGCGAATTGTGGTGCTTTGGCAATGGCCTCGGCAACCAGGTAACCATGACTGGACGCCAGATCGGCATTCCGAGTCGGGGAAAGAGGCATGGCCGGAGACAACATAAAAAACGGGAGTTATTCGGAGAAAAACGTGGATCTGACTTCGGCGTGCGCTGGTAGCCTGTGAGTGAGTCACGAGAAGGTTAAGAGGATTAGGCAAAAACGCCGCAGCCTTCTTGCATGTGGGGTAGCAAAGCGTGGCGTTCCAACCAGGATAGACAGGAACCCAGCCGGGAGTGGTGAAGAGGTCAAGGACGAGAATCCAGGAATTGAGGAGAAGAAAGCCGGTGATAGGCGGAGGGAAGATAGGAGAGCCAACCTGGCTGTTAGACAAGAAACAGGAGGGAACGAAGGTTACGAAGGTTAGCGAAGCACCGACATCCAGGGAACTTACCTTTCCCAAAATCACGGGTGAGAAGGCCGTGCCGAGCCATACGCCAGGGAACCTGCTATCAAAGAACTCGTTACAGGTAAGGGAACCGCACGTACCTTCTAGTAGAACGCCGGGGTGAAGGGGATGAACGCAAAAAGCGTTATCCGTCGACCATTCTGACGGTGTAGGAAGGTAGTAGGATCTGGTACAAACGAGGACGAGAAGCAGCAGGGAAGCGGAGAGCTTCATTTTTTGGGAGCAAGCAAAAACCGCGATCGGTGTTTTGACTGGGACTAAGCAGAACCACAATTTGGCCGTCGTAGCGTAGATCAGGAGAGAAATCTATTCGCCAAAGTTACCAAGAATGATGGACGGTCCGATGACAAATCGTTCAGGACCAGTCCCGTAATAGTTGAAGAAAAGGGTTACTAAGTGTAACCGCCAAAAGTGTTGGAATGGAACCAGCCCTTTATATTCATTATACAGGCATTACAACTTCCACACCATGCCTGGGGTCATCCGTAAGGTCACTGAAAGTCTCCACTCTTTTTTTGGCATCACCAAACACCATATCTTCAACAATATACTGCACCACAAAACAAATTTATCGCCAAGAGCCACCGAATGAACGTGGGGTGGGGTGTTAATGCGGGGAACATAAGAAAAACACACACATGCACACACACACACAAACAAACAAACAACAAACAACGAACTATTGTGGAAGAGAATTATAGCCGATAGGCAATCCGTTTGCATGAAAATATATAGGAAGAAGAAACGAAAAGTGAAAAACTGCTATAAGTACCATCACTTACCTGCATGTGTGTGTCAAAGACCGGCTCCGTCTCATTCATCTTGAGTTGCTGCATGAGCTCGCGGCATTCGTTGTACCAGTCACTCCCCGGCGCCCAGAGGTGGCGGTAGTCGGAGAGCACGTGGATTTTGTAGAGCGAGGCGAGCGGGGAGAAGAAGCCCGGCGTGCGCTCGTTCGATGCTATGTACACATGGCGCCCCGGCTTTATGAACTTGGGGAGCTTTTTCAACAAGCTGGTCGGCGGGAGGAGGATAGGAAGCAGGAGCGGGACGAGACTTTTAGAAGGTGGGTACCTGGACAGCTAGTATGAGCTAAACCTTTGTGATGAATCAAGAAAAAGGCCCGGACTCAAGGGCCTGCTTAGATTTGAGCTTGGAGGGCACGAGTGAGCATGAGCTTGGAGAACGTGAAAGGTAGAAAAACGTCAGGCATTGGGAGCAACCAGCTGCCACAAAGTTAACAGGAGTATGCCATAACGTGAAGCAATTACCGTAGCACTGACTTGAAATGGAGGGACCATAGCAAAGGACGTGGAATTGGAACCTAAAGAGATGGATTGCGTGCGGAAATAGCATGGGCAAGAGCGTGCAGTGAAGAGATTTATTCGCAAGCACTGCTCACCTCAGCTTAGTAAATCACGTGACTGCTACCCCCCGATTGCCTAACAGCAGCACTGGGTGGACCACCCCTCCCCTCACCCTCCTCTTTCCCCTCAAACAGCCCTTCCCTCGCCCCTCTCTCCTCCCCATGCAAGACAGGACTTTCCCTCCTGGCCACTCACGCCGGCGGCCGTGTGTCATGGTCAAGGTGCGGCCAGAAGGTGGGGTTGAGCTTGTCTCCTCTGCGCACGTGCACGGCATCAAAGTTCCACCCCATGGCCGCACACACCTTGTTCGCCACCTTGCGCAGCATGCGCTGCCGCACGATCAGCTTGTAGTTGCGCACCAGATGGGCCTGTTGGGGTGGGTGGGAGGAGACGGAGGAAAAGAAGGAGGCGAGAGTGGGGGAGGCAGGGAGTGGGAAGATGCAGGGAGAGCGAGAGGGGAGTTCGCCACCTTGCGCAGCATGCGCTGCCGCGCGATCAGCTTGTAGTTGCGCACCAGACGGGCCGACGGGGGGTTGAAGGGGGGAGTGGGAAGAGCAAAGCGGGGGTGGGGCAGTGGGCAGAGGGGAGTGAGGAAGGTAGGTTTACTGCGTGTGGGTGCAGGAGCTATGGAGGTGAAGGGGAGTGAAGCACAGTAGGAGAATGAGGTGACACCAAGTAATCGCCCACCTCGCAGCTTCCCCTGCCTCCCCCCGGACGCTGCCCCCTGCCCCCTGCCCCCTGTCTCCGACCCCCTGCCCCCTGCTCCCCACTCCCCCCATCCCCTGTCGCCCATTCCCCTCAGCACTGCACAACGACAACCGTTAATTCAGTAAAGAGAACCCTTGAGCAGATTTGACATGTAAACTGAGCAACCATGGAGAGAGCGCATTCGATGCGCAAGCAAGTACTGACCATGTTATATGGGACCTGCGTGGAGCAGAGCTGATACGCAAACTGGTATGGCTCCAACAGACGCACCAACACCGTTGCGTTGGTACCCTCGCGCTGCACCCGGCTGACAGGAGTGAAGAGACCAAACTGCACCACAGTTATTTGGCCAGGTGGACCTAGCCCACCCTCCCTCCCCACCGTTGCGCTCCCATTCTCCTCCTCCTTCTCCTCTTCCGTCTCCTTCTGCTGCTGCTGCTGCTGCTGTTTCTGTAGGAGGTAGGTTGACATGCCTACGAGGCGGAGGAGCGAGGAGAGCTTGTGCCTCTCGGCAGCAGTGGCGGCGAGGGGGGCCCCCAGGCGGTGCAGGAAGTCCGAGGCGAAGATGATGGGCTGGATGCTGCATGCTCGCATGGACGAGAGGAGGGAGAAAGGCAGGGATTCCTTATAAAGAAACAAAGTGAATTATTTCAGGGAAAAAACGCACGGGCATGCACACACGCACAACCCCCCTCGCTCCACAACCCCTCCCCCCCCATCCCCCCCTCGCCCTCCTTCCCCAGCCCTCACTCACCTCCCCCAGTGCCCACCCTCTCCCAGCGCCCCTCACTCGCCCCGCTCTCCCCCCTCCCTCACTGCCCCTCCCCACTCACCTGCCCCAGTGCTCCGTGTGATAGTACAACTGGAACGGCCGCTCTCGTCCTGCCCACTGTTTTTGAGGGGCCTTACTCCCCCCTCCCTCACTCCGCCATCCCTCACTCCCCCCTCCCTCACTCCGCCATCCCTCACTCCCCCCTCCCTCACTCCCCCCTCCCTCACTCCCCCCTCCCCCACCCCCCCTCCCCACTCACCTCGCCCAGTGCTCTGTGTGATAGTACAACTGGAACGGCCGCTCCTCGTCCTGCCCACTGGCGCTGTGCCTTTGCCCAGAGCACCACGTGTCCGGCACCACAAATACCCGCCCCAGCGCCTGTGCCTCCGCAGCAGCGCACAGGAAGCTCCACACCCAGTGCGACTCGCCTGCACAGTGGTCGTCCCCGCCCTCCACCAGGTAATACCTCCTCGAGTCCACTACACTGGGACTTCCCTTTCCCTTTCCGTTTGCTTTTCCGTTGCTGTTCCCTGCTGGTCCTCTTGTTGTTGTTGTTGTTGTTGTTGTTGTTGTTGTTGGTGGTGGTGGGGGTGTGTGCACGATCCTTTTCCTTCCTTGCTTCCGCTTGCCTTCCCGTTTCCCCTGTTTCCACTTTCCGTGCCATTTCCCCTGTTTCCACTTTCCGTGCCGTTTCCCCTGCTTGCTGTGCCGCTTCACCTGCGTTTTCCCCAATGCCTTTTGACTCTGCTGCTCCTGACTGCTGTCATCACCAGCGCCATCACCAGCGCCATCACCAGCGCCATCCCCCTTGCTCTCTCCAACAACCTCCGTTTCACTTCTTTCGCCTTCTCCTCCTCCTTCATTGCTCCTTCCCTCGCCCCCTTCCCCGCCCTTCCGCTCGTCTCTCTCCCCCCTTTCCCCTGTACCCACATCCGCTAATCCTCCCCCTTCCGCCACAACCTCCCCTTTTTCCCCTTGCGCACTCCCGCCTACCTCCCCATCCCCCACAGCCGCCACTGCGGTACCCGCTATAACCTGCTCCGGCAAAGGCTTTTGTCCGAGATACCCCATGCTGATGAGTGTAGTTTGAGTCAGGAAGACGGCAAGGAGGACGAATAGCAGCACGCGGCACAGCGGCGCGGTAACACCGACTAAGGACAACCCACTCCGCACGCTACTGGTCCTAGAAGGTGTGGCTGTAATGATTGCGGTGCTAGCGGTGCTGGTGGTGCTAGTGGAATTACTGGTGCGCACAGAAGTCGCGGCGCCATTGCCACCACCGCCGCCACCGCCGCCGCCGCCGCCATTGCCATCATCGCTCTGAATCTCGCCCCGTTTGCTGCCGCCGCCTCTGGAAACGACTCCTCCCGGGTTACCGGTACTCGCTTCGGAGCTCTTCGTTATCCGCTCTAGATTCGCGCCGCTGCTGCCCGCGGTCCGCGCGACCTCCTCCGCAGCCATTAGCCCATGAGCGTCCTTCCTTCCGCCCTAGATATACGTAGGATAGAATGCTTCCCGACTCGTCAAACCGTACCTTTCGCCATGACCTCCGCAGGTTAGCGCTCTTGTTCCTGATTGCGGCCTGCTTTCCCCCGACTCGCTCCCGCGACAGAATCAGCGTGAGCTGGCTGGGAAAGCGGAAAGCGAGGCGGCGGAACGATGCGAGCGCCAATCGCCAGCTGGACGGGTTTTGAGTCGAATCAAATCTCTGAAGAAGAACGAGTTTTATGTCAGAAGAACGATGGCAGTGCCAATAGCCAACGGGACGGGTCGGCAGCTTGTTGGTGGGACAGCGAATGCGAACTGTCACGCCGCGGCAACCAGCCACAGCGTATGTGAGATCGCTGCTACAAGGAACAACTGTGGTATCGAATGGCACACGCAACACGAGAGCTCGGATCTCCCGCCTTTTAATAGCTAACCGAAGTCTCTCGCCTTGGGGGTCGAGGGAATACTTTTGCCTTTAACGTGGCGTGTATTCAGATGTATCAAACTCTCGCCGTTAGCATCTCGCGTCTTTAACCCTGTCTGTCGAACGCGCACACTACGCACTGTGGTTTGCTTCGACTACGCTACGTAGCTGCATATGCTGTGTTTGGGTAGTTACGTGCAGGGAATCAGAAGAACCTCGAGATTGCCGACAACCAGGTGGATTTGAAACCGTAGACGAGGAGCCGAGCAGACTTAGATCCGTACGCTTTACACTGTTATGAGTGCACGAAGGCAGCCAGGGTTGCGATAACGAAGTCAATGAAACAGCCAAACTCGAACATGAGCGACAGAATCTGTGTATTAGCAATCATGCATATGCTTCTTGAAGATGCACAGGTATGGAATCCATATATTAAACTTCGTCGCATACATAACAATTATGATGAATATATTATATTTTGGAGAACATTATCCATGTATATCAGTTGGCTACTTCGACGAACATAAGGCAGACTTATTCTCTACATAGAAAGACAGCACGGTGTTTCACACCGGTCACCGAGCCCCGCAATAGCGCGCATTTCGCAGACCTGGCGAACAGTGGGGACTCGGGAGGATACATGCGGTGGCGCATCCGTACAGCACTGTACCGCTGTAACGCAGGCAGCATTCGTTCAGGAGGGCGATGCTGCGAAGCGAATAACGGAACCGAACAGGATGGCGGTGAGGCGAGGTCCGAAAGACCACTTGAGATTTGCTCAACGGCTTTATTGCTCCACCCACCGTCCGTGCCAAGCCGACTGAACGTCCCTGAAGCGTTTCGCTCGATTCGATCTCTAGGCGTACGTTCCCGCTCCAACCGCTCTAGCAGATCTGCGTCAGCAGCCCAAGTGCAGAAAATATCGGGATATCCTCCCCGTGTTGTTCGTTTGCCCCAGGTTTCCGTCTCGAAAGTTTGATAATCAGTTCCTTAGGCAGGGAAGGGCCATGAGCTCGGATTCGTCGTTTGCGCGGCACGGAAGCGCCGCCAGCCTAAACAGCAGTGACAATAGCGAAAGTTCCAGTAGCCGGAGCAGCGGCGGTGTGGCAATTGGATGTTTCGGCGGAGGCGGCGGCGGCGGCGGCGGAGGCGGCGGCGGCGGCGGCGGAGGCAGGGCAGGGGGTGGGGGGAGTACCAGCGGTAGTACACACAGCAGGGGCGCGGAAGGGGACGAAAGCCCTCACAACGGTAACGGGAGCAGCTATAACGGGGACATAGCTGTAGATAGCGATGCGGGCTTGGCGGAAGGAGGGGCGAAGTCGGAGCGCAGCGCGCGGAACGGCGGCGGTGTGCGCGAGAAGCGGGGTAGCGCGAGGAGTTTAGCGCGGGGGGCGTTCTCGTCTCATTCCGCAAAAATGCTTCTATGCGGGTTCGCCCCTTCTCATCTAAAAGGGGAGAGCGACGATGACGATGAGGAGGAGGCGAACGACGAAAAGAACGAGGAGGAGGGCGACAAGAACGAGAAAGGCGACGGAGGAGGAGGAGGAACGACAGATGAAGGGGACGAGAAAAAAGGGGATGCAGACGAGAGGAAGGAGGAGAAAGCGAACAATCACAGGGGAGACGGGGAGCTGAATCTGCATATCCCACGCAGTCTATCCCCATCGGTCTGCATCTCCGGAATTCCCGATGCCAGCGGTAGGAGGAGGAGCAACGATAGTCCGAACCGCGGAGCACGCCTCAGCAGCCACGGAGACGAATCTGCGTGTGATTCTAGCGAGGCTGGGAGCGCGGGAAGGTCCGGCAGGTGGGGAGGGGCCTCGTTAGTAGCACCGCGGACTCTCAGCAGAGTGCTGTCGTTAGGAGGCTCGCGAGCGAAAGCCCAGCTTAAAGACGTGTACCAGAGCTTCAGTAAGGCGTCAGGGAGGGGGGAGCAGGCGGGACAGGGGGAGCAAGGGGAGCAGCGAGAGCAGGGGGAGTTGATTCAGGCGGGTGCAAGCGCACAGGAGGCGTCTGGTCGTAGCATTTCTAGCAGCAGTCGTGGGCGCAGGGCCAGGCACAGCAGACGTGGCAGCAGCAGCAGCAGCTGCGGCAGCGGACTCCTTGTGGGTGACAGTGACGAACTCGAGGCCGCTGTTAAGGGGGATATGGTGAACGGGAGTTGTGGCAGCGTGGGCGAGGGGAAGAGAGAGACGAGCAGCAGTGGTGGCACTGGCGACGGTAGCAGCACGGGCGCTGGCAATAGCCCAGTACAGCATGGTCCGGTTCTTCTGGCCTCTAGTCCCCGTCTCACTCCTCCCAGTCCCACTCCCATTCCTGCCTCTGCTCCCTCTCCTCTTGGCCTTAGCCACACTTGCAGCAGAGCGGTTTCCGGTGTATGCGACCTGACTTGCAGTGCAGGTGCACATGTGCAGGGCGAGAGAGGGCAGGGGGCAGCGGGGTTAGAGCAGAGGGGAGAGGGGGAGGGTAGGGCAGGTGTGTGTGGGGAGGGGGATGGAAAGAGGTACGGGCTAGGGCGAGGGGAAGAAGCAGGGACAGCGAGCTTGGAGGCGGAAGGAGTGTTAGCAGGAGCAGCCGAATCGGCAAGAGAAGATGTAGCAGCAGGAGTAGCTGTATCGACAGGAGAAACTGTAGCAGCAGAAGAAGCTGTGCCAGCAGGAGAAGCTGAAGCAATAGAAACGGCTGAATCAGCAGGAGAATCTGTAGCAGCAGGCGAAGTTGCAGTAACAGGAAAAGTTGTGGCAGCAGAAGAATCTGTGGCACCAGGAAAAGCTGTAGCAGCAGGCGAAGTTGTAGCAGTGGTAGCAGCAGGAGCAGCAGGAGAATCTGAAGCATCAGGAAGAGCTGAACCGTCAGGAGCAGCTGCAGAAGCAGGAGCAGCTGAGGTAACAGGAGGAGCTGTAGCAGCAGGAGCAGGAGGAGCCCCCAGAAGCCTGTCGCCAACAGCAGCCACAGCAGCGACTGTGTTAGAAATGCCCAGGGCAGCAGTATTGAGTGCGGAGGACGGGGTCGAGAGGGGGTTGGAGGGGATTATGCGAGCATCAGGGGAGAGGAGAGACGAAGGAGAGGAGTATGTGGGGAAGGGTACAGATGCAGGAGCATTTGGGGAAGATTTTTCCAGAACAGAGGTAGATGTGGGGAAGGGATTGACTTTGGGCGAGGGTGCTGGTTTTGAGGAAAAGGTGGAGGGAAGTGTTGTGAGGAGTGAGGAGGATTCTAGAGCAAGTCATACACGTTTGGAAGGAGGCGGTTTGGAAGGAGGCGGTTCGGAAGGAGGCGGTTCGGGAGGATCAGGTTTGGAAGCAGCTGGTTTGGAAGGAGGGGAAGCGAATGGAGGCGATTTGAATGGTGATGGTGTGGGAAGAGACGAGGGGAGCAGTTGGGGTGTTGTGCAAGTGGGCGAACTGGTGGATGAGGCAGTGCAAGGGGGGGAAGAGGAGGATAAAGAGAAGGAAAAAAAGAAAGAAAATTTGAAACAAAAGGAGGAGGACGAAGCAAAGGAGGAAGAGAAGGAAGGGAAGGAAGAGGAGGAAAGGGAGGAGGAAAAAGAGGTGGGGGAAGTAGAGAGGAAGGAGAAAGAGAAGAAGGAAGAGGAGATAGGGATGGAAGTGAAAGAGGAGGAAGAGGGCGAGGACGAGGAGGAGAACGAGGAAGAGGAAGAGGAGGGTGAGGAGGGAGAGGAGGTGATGGTGGAAGTGAAAGGGAGAGAGCAAGGAAGTGAGGATGGAAGTGATGACGAAAGTGAGGAGGAGATTGAAACAGAGAGTGAGGGAGAGAAGGAGGAGGGAAGAGAGGCAGATGGAGAGACAGTAGGAGACGTGGGAGAAGAGGAGGGGCGGCAGGGGGGAACTAAGGAGATGGAGAAGGAGGGGGGGAGATCTAGAGGAATGGCGAGTGGGGGAGGAGGAGGAGGTGGAGGAGGAGTATCAGGAAGAGGGTGTGAGGGGGAGGAAGAGGCCTTATCGCAGCCAGAGCAGGAGAAACAGATGCGAGAGGAGGGGAGGAAGAGTAGGAGGAAGAGCAGGCATGATAAGCATAGAGGCAACAGTAGGGCTGAATCTGAGGATGAGGAGGGAGTTGAAAGGGGGGCTGCGGGAGTAGTGGAGGGGGAGCGGAAAGGGGATGGGGAAGGGAGAAAGGGGAAGGAGGGGGTGCTTGAAGGAGGGATGGGAGAAGGAGAAGAGAAGCGGAGGAAGAAGAAGGTAGGGGAGAGACAGGCGTGGCACCGGAAGGGAGAAGCAGGGGAGGAAGGGGAAGGGAATGCGGGAGAGAGGAAGGTAAAGGCACACCGGCGGGAAGCAGCAGGGCATGAACGTGAGCGTAAGCATAAACACAAGCATGAGCATAAGCATAAGGATCAGGATGAGCACAAGCGTGAGCAAGAGGATCAGCAGGGGCGGGAGGCAGCACAAGGGAGCAACCGCAACAACAGCAGCAGCAGCAGAAGCAGCACAAAGAAGGTACCCAAGGTGGAGCGAGCTGTATCCAGTGACAGAAAAACCACAGGAGTTCGATCTCGCAAGCCCAGCACCGAGAGTGAGAAGGCTAGGAGTGCGTCACTGGCAGCAGGAGAAGCAGCGCCATTAACACCAGGAGACAAGCCCTCCCTTGCCACGCTGCTTGCCGCCTGCCGCTCCTCCTCCCGCCCCCCCTCCCGCCCTGCCTCTCGGCCTTCCTCCCGCCCATGCTCCCCTCCCAGAGCAGCAGCAGCAGCGGCACATGCGAGTGACGCTGCTGCCCCTGCTGCTTCTGCTGCTACCACCGGTTCCCATCCCCACAGCATCACCACCAGCAGCGGCGGCGGCGGCGGCGGCGGCGGCGGTGGTGGTGGTGGCGGCAGTGGTTCATCGAATGCGTTTTCCTTGGGCAGGCGTCTATCTTCAGACACTGCTTTCTCGGAGCAGCTGCTGCGCGCCATGCAGCAGGCCGATCCCCTCTTAGCGGCCGCCCAGGGCAAAGCAGATCGCCGTGTGAGGGAGGGAAAAGGGGGGGCACGTGGGCGGGAAGAGGAGGGCGGGGAGGGACGGGAAAGGCGGAAGAGTGGGGGGCGAGGGAGGGGGCCGGGGAGAGGGAGAGGGGGAGAAGAGGAGGAGGAGGAGGAGGAGGAGGGCGAGGAGGGGGAGGAGGAGGGAGATGAGGGTGGTTTGGGAGGGAGTAGAGAGCACGGGTATGTGTCTTGTGATGGGAACGTGCGAGGGGAGAGGCAGAAGGAGAAGCAGGGGAACGCCGCAGAACAGGGTGGGGGCAACAGTGGTGGGAAACGGGGGGAGCAGGGGCAGCAAGGGCAGCAGGGGCAGCAGGGGCAGCAGGGGCAGCAGGGGCAGCAGGGGGAGGAGGAGGTGTGGGCTGCACCGACCTCCTCTGCGATGTTTGTGAAGGTGATGAGCCTGGAGAGGCGACTGGCCCTCAAAGGCACCATCACCACCACCACCACTGCTGCTGCTGCTGCTGCTGCTGCTGCTGCTGCTCCTGGAAGCTACCAGCAGCACTGGCACGGGCAGCAGGGATTCCAGGGGCAGCAGGGACAGCAGGGGCAGCAGCAAAGGGAGAAGAGTCAGGAGGCGTGGGCAGATGCACCATCTTCGGCCATGTTTGGTAAAGTGCTCAGCCTGGACCGACGCACCATCATGGCTGGTCGAACTGGTGCTGCTGCTTATGCTGCTGCTGCTGGTGCCGGTGCCGGTGGTGCGAGGGCCAGAGGAAGGAGCTTTGCGAGAAGCAACGACGAGGGTTCCGGGCAAGAGGAAGACCACCCCTTCCCTCATCCCCGTCCTCATTTTCCACATCCCCATCCCCACCACCATCCTCACCACCACTCAGTTTCTCCAGCCCCTAACCTGCCCACTCCATTACACCCACCTGCTCACCCTGCCTCTGCCTCCTCCGCCGGTGCTGTTCGTTCGGCCCCAAACCCTGTTCCACGCATCAGCTCTTGCCCCACTACAAGCAGGAACGACTCAACTGCAGTTTTCTCCTCAACCAACGCACCAACCACCCCTCCCTGCGAATCAGCACGCATGGCCCTCTCTACTCTCCCTTTCGCCGCTGCCGTCTCTGCCGTCTCTGCCGCCTCTCCCTCTTCCCCCTCGCCTGCTCTTGACCCTGGCGCTGCTCGGCGATTGCTTGGTTCCCGTGTGGCTGCACAGACTCTTTCCTATTCTGCTGCTGCTTGCACCACCCCTCCTTCCTTGTCCCCTCCCGCTGCCGCCGCCGCCACCGCTGCTGCTGCTGCTGGTTCTGTTATTTCTTCTGCTGCTGTTTCATCTGCCCGCCCGCCGATCGCCTCGTTCCCTTCCTCTCGCTCTGTGTCTGGGGCGTTTGCCTCCTCCTCCTCCCGCCGCCGCCCGTCCACTGCGAATCATCCTGGGAGCAGGGGAGATAGGAGCACCTGGAGGAACAGTGGAGTGAGAGGAGGAGGCGGAGGAGGAGGAGAAGGTAGTGGTGGTGGTGGTGGTGGCAGCAGGGGTAGGGACCTGCGAAGAGTGAGTGAGGGGAGGGTGGACAGTGACAGCGACAGTGGGAGTGACAATGGCGCGGGTGCTTACGCAAGAGACGATGACAGTAGTGACGGGTTTTCTTCTGATGGTTTCGACTCCCCTTCTTTCTCTCAACGCTCTGGTGCTCCCACTGCCGCTGCTGCTGCGGCGGCGGCATCCTCTCTTACCCCTCCGCCTGGTCCCAGTGCGGGGCATGGGAGAAGAAGAGGAGCGGGCGTGGATTCACGAGGGAGGTATAACGATGCAAGTACTCGGAGAGCGATTGTGGCACGAGGTGGGAGGTCGTTATCCAAGCACCGCTCTGCACCCACCCGCACCCTTGATCAAGTCGAGGTGGGGGGGAGGGAGGGGCGGGAGAGAGGAGCTGTGGGTGGGAGAGGGGAGAGGGCGGAGAGAGGGCGGAGGGCTGAGGAAGGTACGAGTGACTTAGAGTTTATGGCAACCCACTGGCCTCTCCCTGTTCTGCTGGAGAAAGGTAGCCCTGCGAGGAGACAGAGAGAGGTGGTTGCTGCCCGCGTGGCTGTGGGGGTTCAGCAGAGGAGGGGACTAGTGCAGCAGATGGGGTGTGAGGGAGAGGAAGAGGGAGGCGAGAAGCACGAGGGGGAGGACAAGGGAGAGGGGGAGGAGGGGGGAGGGAAAGAGGTGGAGGGAATGAGGAAGGGAGGCGGGCAGGAGGATGATGTGCGAGAGGGGAGAAGAAAATGGCGTGGGATTCAGGTGCAGAGGGATCAAGAGACAGAGGAGGGAGAGAAGGACGAGAAGCAGGAGCAGCAGATGGGGCAGGACGTGCAGGGGGGGCAGGGGGAGCAGGGGGGCCAAGGGCAACAGGGGGGGCAGGAAGTGCAGGGGCAGGGAGGGGTATATCTTCAGGGGGAGGAGCAGGAGGGGCAGAGGTGGGAGCAGTAGCAGTTTGAATGGGATAGGATGAGAGGTTCGTGAGATCGAGGAGAGGGAGAGGAGAGGGAAGAGGGAGGGAAGAAGAGAGGGGAGAGGGGAGGGAGGGAGAAGGGGAGGGCAGGACGAGGAAATGAACAGCAGTGGCAGAGATGGGAGTGGGAAGGTCATGTATTGCATATTCGTTTTCCGCCAAAACAAATAATTGAATTGTGCAGCCTTTTTAACACAGATTGTTTGAATTACTAAATATTGATATTTGCCATATTGTACAATGTAGTGTCAACCAAAACACTAGATCGTAAACCATAGCCACTATTGCATTGTAAATGTGAATATTAAAGACGAAAGCATGTACTGTTTCTGAGTGCCAAGCTAGGAAAAGCTGGCATGGCATGAATAGTATACCCAACAAAGACACTACCTTCTTTACAGAGATACTGGTATAGTACCAAACAGAGGATTAACAAGTCTGTTGGGCTGAGATGAGAGCAACAACAAGCACCTGCTCCCCAGCACTCTGCCACTGCTTCACCTACCCAAGCAGACCTCATAGACATGCCCGAAACCATCCCGTGAAACCCGCTTCAGCCCCTCAAAATGCAGCCTGGATCCCAGGAAAGCCACCCGCAGAGGAGGCACCCAAACAGTGGGACCTTGTGGTTGCAAGACAGATGAGGGCAGAGGAGGGCACGTAGGCGGAGTGGACAGGGGGATGATGGTTCCAGCTGGTAAGGCTGCAGCAGCGGCAGGCGCTGGTGCTGCTTCAGCGGCAGTAGCAGGAGGAGGAGCGGCAGCAGAAGAAGCAGAGGCAGAGGCGGGAGGCGGAGCAGACACAGCAGAGGCAGTGGCAGGAGGAGGTTGGGCAGCAGGCGTGGCGGTGGTGTGTGGGGGTGGGCAGGCAGCGATTGAGCATCGGAGTGATTCTGAATGGCGAGAGTCTGAGAGCACACACAGGGACACCTCGTGTGTGGTTAAGCGCTCCTGCACACACACAGGCAGCAGCGCAGGGGAGAGAGGCATGTACCGTGGTGCAGGGCAGTTGAGAGGGAGGAGATAGGGGTGTAATGGGTTGGGAGAGGGGGCGGCAAATGGGAGCGGGTGCAGCGAGGTGGGAGCGGGGTGCAAAGCGGTGGGAGTGGGGTGCAGTGGATTGAAAATGAGCGTGAGGGACAAACGTGAAGGAGGACGTCGTCAAACGGGTCAGGAAATTGATGGTGTAGGACCGCCATTGAAATCTTCCACCCCATGGCATGGCATAGCATGCCCCATACCCCATGGAATGCCTCATGGCATGCCCCATGCCCCATGGAATGCCCCATGGCATGCCCCATTCCATGCCCCAACACATCCCCCATCCCACAGCCCCCCATATCACACCCCCCAGCGGACTCGCCTGGTAGAAGGAATACACGAGGGAGAGGAGGCGCAGCGAGGAGAAGCCCGCAGGGGAGAAGTAGGAGCGGGCGGAGGGGCCGACCTCGGAGTACACGTCTAGGGGGAAGAGCAGCGTCAGGAACGCGTGCGGGTAGAGGAGTGATGATAGCTGGCTGTGAGAGGGGGCAGGAGGGGAAAAGGGGCAATGGGGGCAGGAGGGCAAAGGGGGCAAGGAAGGGGAAGGATGGGCAAGGATGGGCAAAGGGGGCAGGGAGCGGCAAAAGGGGGCAAAGGGGGCAAAGGGGGCAGGGAGGGGCAAAAGGGGGCAAAGGGGGCAGGGAGGGGCAAAGGGGCCAAAGGGGGCAAGGAGGGGTAAGGAGGGGCTACAGGGGCGATGAGGGGCAAAAAGGGGGAAGGAAGGGAGGGGATGTTCTAGGCACTTCAAAACGTGACGAATCATGCAGAAGGGGCTATGCATAGATGGCTGAGAGAAGGTGAGTAAAGGGGGAGAGGTGTGGAAGCAGGGGAAAGAGGGGGGTTGGGAAGAGGATGCATGGCAAGTATGGGAGAGAGAGGAAAGGTTTTGAAGAGAAGAGGAGGGCATTGGGTCTTGAGAGTGTGCTAGTCGAAAGGGTGGAAAAGGCATGCCAATGGGAGGTGGATGGAACGGCGAGTATTTCATGTATAATTGACGCGAGAGAATGGAAGGGAGGGGAGAGAGAGGAAGGAGGGAAAGAGAGAGAAAGGGAAGCGAGAGGAGGGGAAGCGAGAGGAGGGGAGAGGAAGAGGGAGAAGGGAGGCGAAAAGAGAGAGGAGGGAAAGTGAAGGGAAGGATACATGAGAGGGAGTAGCAGCAAGATAAGAAGAGGAGACGAGGCAGAGGAGGGAAGCAAGGGAGGGGTGAGAAGAGAAGTGCACCTGTGATGCATCCTGGTCCCAACAGAAGCACAATGCCCACCAGCACTGGCAGCACCATCACCACCATGTCCTTCCCCCAACCCCACTTCTTCCACACCTCCTGAAACCAAACCTCCCAGCATCCGAGCCTCAGTGGGAGGCTCGGACACACTCCACGCCAGATCGTCCAGGAGGACCGGGGGGGCTGGAGGGCGGGGTAATGAGCTGGCTGGCTGGAGAGGAGTGGGAGGGGGAGGAAAGGTGGGAGGGGGAGTTGGGGGGTGGGGGAGGGGCAGGTGAGAAGGGGCAGGGGGGAGGGGCAGGTGAGAAGGGGCAGGGGGGAGGGGCAGGCGGGGCAGGTAAGGAGAAGGTCTATCCTTGACACATGTGTGATTCTGCTCCTTGGGTTGGGATGGGAAGGAGTAAGTAGGGCAGGTGTGGTGGGGAGGAGCAGGTGGGACAGGAGTGCAGGCTACGCACGCAATGCCATGCAAATCCCTTTTGAGAATTCTCAAAAGTGCCATGCTAGTCGCAGCGGCAGCAGCGGCGGCGGCAGCAGCAACAGCAAGCACTTCAAGCAACATAAGCCTCTGAAGAACTCTCAGTACAAGCAGCACTCCAGCAGTGCAGTGCATACCTGGCGCCGTCCTCCCCTGCGTGCCCGCATGAGCCCCTTGGCTTGCTCCATTGCCTCCACTCGCCTCTCCCAACGCACACACCCCCACGCCCAATGCCTTCCCATGCTGCCACTGCTGCCGCTCCCACTCTCCCTGCTGCTGCTGCCGCCGCCACCACTGCTGCAGCTGCAGGAGCAGGAAGAGGAGCAGGAGTGGGAGCAGGAGGAGGAGCATCTATAGCAGCAACTTGTGCCGCAGCAGCAGCAGCAGAGGTCGTGGGCGTTGCAGCTCTCCCACCAGGCCTCCGGCAGTGCACACTCCCTCCCCTTCCACGGTCCTGGTTTAGGCTGCTGCCGAACCAAGTCCTGAGGCGAGGAGGGCTGAGGTTCGGCATGTATCAGCTTGAGAGTATGCGGGTGGGAGGGCTGCGGCTGAGAAGGCGGCGGAGGATGAGAAGAAGGAGGAGGAGGAAGGGGGGAGTGAGTAACGGGTGTGGCTGACGATACAGTGGCAGCAGCAGGAGGAAAGGAGATGGGAGGAGCCAGCAGTGAGCCCGGAGGGGGTGATGGAGTGTGGACGGAACCAGGGCTTGCAATGATGGCAGGCGCAAATGCAGCTGCAGAATCAGCGTGAGCATCGGTTGGAAGTGGTTCACCAGGCGAGATGGGCATAGGCCCAGGCACTCCCGCATTACCCAATAATGCCACGTCTTGCATTTCTCCTCCCTCGTTTAACCCACCGGACCATTCATCAACCGTTTTCTCTGTCTCTCGCACCACATCTGCTGCTGCATATCCCGTCTCCTCTCTCCACTCATTCCCACCCATCTCAACCGTATCATGTGCCTCGCTAACCAGCCCAATGCTCTCCGGGCCTGCTCCCGGAGGCTCGGAACCACTTCCGAGCCACTCGCTCCGAACCTGGCTGTCTGCTTCGTCAAAAGGCACCTCTCTGTCTGCAAACTCCTGTAAGGAATCAAATCTCTGCCGATCCTGTGAATCTCGCTGCTGTGTGTGATTCTCCCGAACCTCGTGCTCCTTTTCCTTTCGAGCCGACTCAAGTGCTCCTGAGTCGCCATCTCCTGCCTCAACGTTTGCGGAGTCCCGTTCTGCTTCGTCAGAGACTCTGGTGTGAGCTGTGGGAAGGCGTTGTGGCAAGTCAAGCAGTGCGGTTACAACGGTCCTGCATGCTTCGCTGTCACGTGTGTCACGTTTGTTATGTGTGTCACGTGTGTCCTGAATGTCATGTGTGTCCTGCAGTGCACTTGCAGCGGCACTGCATGCTTCATCACTGCAAGTCCTTTCCGCACAGGAAAGCACATGCTCCCCACTCGCCTCCGAACCCCCATGGCTTGCTGAGGTTGCTGCTCCACACTCCAACCCCCTTGCTTCCACAAATCGGCAACCCTCACTTGTGATCTCTTTCTGCTGCGCTGTTCGTTGCATCCTCTCCCTTTGCAGCATCCCCTCCTCATCACACTCAGCACACTCAGAATGTCGTCCTACTGCTCCTCTCAGCACTCCTACCCTTTCCCTCTCCCTTCGCTCTGCCTCCAACCACACATCCTCCTCCTCAACCTCCTCCTCCTCCTCATCCTCCTCTCCCTCCCCTTCCTCCCCTTTCCCAGCCTCCTTCCACTCCACCCCACGTTCCTGCCACTGATCCCTGTCTAACAAACCAGAGCCCTGTTCCCCTCCTCGCGCTTCCCCTCCCACTTCCCCACCCTCTGCTCCCTCTCTTACTCCCCCACTCTCTCCTCCCTCTCCCGCTCCGCCACCTCTTCCCCCTCCCCCTCGCCCTCCTGACAGAGCATGCAGCTGCTTAAAGCAGGGGAAGAAGATGTGCTCTGGCAGGCGCACTGGGGGGAAGGGGGGGGGAAGAGCGCAACACACCGAGTAGGCGGAGAGATATTCAGAGGTGCCTCAAAGTCGCCTCAAAAGTCCCCCTTCCCCAACCCCTCCCTGCTTGAAGCATGGGAAGAAGATGTGCTCTGGCAGGCGCACTGGGGGGAGGGGAGGGCAGCACAATGAGTGGGTAGTGATGTATTTCCAGGTGCCTCAAAAGTCCCCTCAAAAGTCTCTCCCACCCCCCGCTTTTCCTGCTTGAAGCAGGGGAAGGAGA